ACCCCAGTGCAGCCACTTGCAGCCTCCCCACCACTTCCCACAAGCAGCCTGGGCTCTGGGCAGGCCTCTGCTGCCTGCCAGAGCCGAGCTGCTCACAGCAGGCAGAGAGGGAGACTGCAAGCAGCTGCACTGGGGTCCATGTAGCCTAGCTGTTAGGTACTAGTCCTTCTTCCCCCCTACCAATTAATTGTTTAATCATTGTAATTACAACAGGTTAAACAGATATTTTAAAAATCAACATTTACATCCCAACTCTGAATTTAGAGGGTGTGAAGATGGGCAAAAAAGCTGGTGCAATGATTGTTTTGGATAATGAGAAAAATAAACATTAATCAGTCCAAATCATGTATTGATGGTGTAAAAGTATGAAATTGCATTAGGAAAAGCAGCTAATACCAAGGAGTAAGCTGTAAAACAAATTGTTTGAAGAGTAGAGGAGGAAATATGCTGTAGTTTACACCTTCCCACACCCTCCTTATGCTCTGGTTCCTTTTACTGCTATACACGTCAATACCTCTTGCCATTCAACATTAGCTTTGACACACTCACTAAAATGTGTTAGCTAACCCTGATGAATCCTCATGTTAATCTAGACCAACTCAATGTATAATTTATGTCACCCCTCAATTGAGCCCAATATTAGAAGTACTTTTAACAGAATCCTTGTGCAGATGTTAACCTTCTACTGGGAGAGTTGCTACTCCCCTAGGAGAAACCATGAGTGTACAGAGGTTCAGGTTTTTTCTCCCAGAATAAAAATAGCCACTTCAAGAGAAAAATACCCTGGGAACAACCACAGTTAAATCACTCCCAAGAGAGTTTCCCCTGGGAAAATGAATGTCTGTATATGCGGTGGCTTCTCTCCGAAAAGAACATGGTCTTCCAGCTTCCTCCCTCTCCACCTCTCCCCAATATGACTCCGTATTTTTAAAAGTTTGGCTATTTTAAAGCTTACTTAATGAAGACGTATTATTAAGAATAACTTGCAGGGAGCAGAACACACCCTCTTCACTTTCTCCATGCTGTGCTGCAGGGGAACACAGGCTGACAGTCGGCAGTAGGCAGTCTAGGTCAGCCAATCAAGGCTGCCCTGTACCCTGCTACCATCTATCACCAGGAAGATTTAAGGGAGCCTGTAGAGCATGCTGACATGTGTACACATAGCTCCTCCCCCAGTGGCACAGTGTCAGCTCTGCAAGCTCTCTATTCTTCCAAGGCTCAGCATGTGTGTGTATGTACACAGAGCTCTGGGTAAGATTTTCGACCAGGAGAACAAACCTGGGAGAAATCTCCCAGATTATTTAAATGTGTGCGCACAGCTTGAATAAAACAGCCTGAATAAACTATTTGAATTTGATAAGTGGAGCTTTTGATTTGATTTGATTTCATTTCGTTTCATTTCATTGTAAGCACTGTACTTTGAGTGCCCTGTTTGCTATAAGGATTTTAGAATAAGAAGGTTTATACGGTTGCTAGAATGTGACCATGACACTGGAGTCATTTAGGGCATGTCTGAAGCTTCTGCCTGGAATAGAAGTATTCATTCAAATTATCTGCCCATGCTTTCATTCACTCTGTTTCTCTTTTCTCTTTGATCAACATAAAGGAAAACCCTAATAAGAACTGTAAATCAGGCTTAATTCTAATGAAGTCAGTGGAGATTTTCAGATGTGCAACTAGTAAAATGAAGTGAAACATGTTCTATATGCCTGATTTCTATATTGCAACTCTTAAAGTCAAGTCACTCACATCAATCTCTTCACTTATGTAACTCCATTTACAGTTTGTATGTTTGTGTCAGCTTGCCATTAAAGAGAATTTTACTGTATATTGAGGAGGGGAGGATAATTACCACAACATGTACATTTTCTCCTGAATGCAATTCTGCTAGCACATAACTATAGGAGTCCCATTTAACTCAGTCAGATAACTTGCATTGTGAGGTATTACTTAGTGTAATTAATTGATGCAGAATCTTGCTTTAATGAAGTATAATGTACAGTTTTTAGATCGATTGCCATATTTGCGTTTTATAACCATTAATCTCTCAAGTATCTTAAGTAATGTTAGCATGTTAGGACACTTGAGTTTCAGTCAGATATTGAGTATTCATTGCATAATTTTCACATGTAAAGTTGGTAAAGAGATTAGTTAAAGGTCTTCTGATGGTTTTTCTTTGATGATCCAAAATGAGGTAGAAGCCATATCTGATCTACATAGCAAAATGTACAAAGAAACAAATTCTCCTTATTGCTGTAAAGCAAGGCTAATAAGCCAAGTAAATTATCTTGTCCTTGTGTGCAGACATCACATTACCTAAAGTGCTCCTGAAAATGACAGAATTTGTCCCTTAGAAATGGCTGGTTGGTACATTTTGATGCAATGTATCATGTTAAAAATCCATAAATGTCTCCTTAGAAAAGACAGATATGAAACATTGCAACTGTTTCAAATATCTGCATAGAAATTCCTCTCTTCCCTGAAGCACCATGATGCATTGTATTGTGTCCATGCAGCAGTGCTTTGAGAGTATATTAAATGTACAGTGGGAGCATCCTCAAATTTATTTTCCATGGTTTGAAATAAAGCTACTTGGAAGTAATTTCTCTAGGCTTTCATAGACTGACTTTTAAAAATATTACATGAAATTGTCAGAATAATGGTCATATCATTGTTATGAGTAGCTTTTGAGGTAATCATATGAGATGTATTATAATTTTTTCTTTATGAAAAATGAAGAATTTATTATAAAATACAAAATGTTCCTGCCTCTGCATAGAAAGGGGAGGAGATGTGACAAAGTGCTTTTCTACCTATATTCTCTTCTTATACACAGGCAAATTGGGTGAAACTGCGGTCTCATTGACATCAATGATTTTACAATTGATTTTACTATAGCCAGAATTTCTCCCAAAGTACTGAAAAAACAGCTGCTATTCTCTATATTAGTATCACAGCATTATCAACCTCCAATAATTATGCTTTCAACACACTGGCCTGCTGTGGTGGGCAACACAGTACATATTCAGAGTGTGGGGATGCAGCAACTGCTGTGTTTCCTGCTCACTGGAAGCCTTGCCTGAAAATTTGGTAGAGTAAGCAAAACCCCACCGGTGGTTTTAATGTAGAGCCAACCATATAAATGCAGAGCTTTGCCAAAAGCATAATAAAACCCATGGTGTATGATCCTGTGATCAATGTATCTTTTTCTTTCAGTTTGAGACTTGGAACATGTCATGTTCAATTATGAGAAAGTAGAGTGCATAATTTTTGAAGGATGTTGGTTATACCAAACTTTGTTTATTTTTGATTCACACAGGCTTACCGAGCAGAACTTGCACCTCTTAAGGACAACGTGAATCATGTAAATGATCTGGCTTACCGTTTCCCTTCCTCTGATATCCAGCTTTCTCAATATAATCTTAACTGCCTAGAAGACCTGAATGCTAGATGGAAGCTCCTGAAGGTAAAATTGTCTTGATCAATTTTGACATCTGTGCTTGGGTGATTTTTTTTTTCTTGTGTATTTTTTCCCCATGGAGGAGCAATGAAGAAAGGTTAGGGGAATGCAATGGAAAATGAACATGGTACAAAAAAAGTTTGCAAAATGTAATTTTATGAGGAAGAAGTTAAGCTTGTTTGGTATTTTTTTTTCCTTTTTAGATTTCTGTGTCCCTGAATCACCATACTTTCTCAGAAACTTAACGAGTGAAGTTAATCCTGTTAATTGTATATCTGTAGCACAAGACTCGCATGCAAGTAAAAGTAATGAAATAATTTCCTCACCTTAAAAATAATATTTGTTGCAAACAATATTCTGTCATATTGTATGGCAATTTCCCTTGCTCTTGCATATATATTCTTTCTTTACAGACCTTTTACGCTGCATATGGAAGAGTGAGTTTAGGGAGTTTACTTTTACAACTCTAGTCCTTTTCCTTTATGTTTAAATGACTCAAGGACATTTAATTTTAAGTACTTTCTTGAGGCAATTTAGTTATCCTGTGCAGTGCATGCATGAAAATCAGACCGGTAGAATCAAATATAAAATTACAAAGCATTATACTCATTGAAGTTTTTTTGTAATAAGGTATTTTGTAGGGCTGTTAAATTCATCAAAAAGGTAGATTTTATGAACTGGCTTTTAAAGCAGAAAAAGAATTAAAATATTTTATCAAGTCAAAATGAACATGAAATATAAACGAAAGATATAAATATTGAAAATATTTTAGTGTGGATGTTATTTTACAGATGTGTATATCCATTTAAGTCTTTAGTTACTCTGCAATATTTTGCAGTAAAGCTGTCTAATGTGCATGTATAATAGAAGTGTTCTAACTCTGTGCCCAGGATTCCATCCGAAATTTGTGGGATACTTGTATATCTGTATGTGTGCACACATAGCAATATAGTCCTGATAGTCTGTGAGAAATAAAGTAAATGCATTTCTTTAAAAGGAGTATTGCCAAATGTGGAAGTAGATGGTAAGGTTAATAATAAGCTACATAATCATGTAAATTGCTCGCATTTTCCAAAGAATCCAAACTTTCATGGAGCATAGAAACCCTGTCCTGCTTTTAACTGTCCCAGTGCTACTGTGATTGAGACTGACAGATGGTCTGCAAGAAATAGCAATGCAATATGTCACTATTGCATTTAGCCAGGATATCTGACAAATTATCTTATTGTTGCTTTAGCTCCCACAAGATACTCCACTAAGTCTCCTCTTTAGTCTTTGGTATCTTACCTGGATGGTGACTTCCTGGATTCAGGAATCTTTCCCCACTCTTTTCTGGCTACTCATGCCAGCACTGCATCTTCATCTGCCTCTCTGGCTAACTATCTTGCAGGTTCCAGTCCAGTTGATCCTCTGATCCCATCTCCCTTTCAATCTACCCATCAGAAAGAAATAAGTACTTGGTATGCATGATAGCCGGGCATGGGTTATGGTGAGGTGCCTCTTTTGGCCAAACCATTAATATTACCACTCAGTGAAACTGCTTAGGAATGATTTGAAATACTTGCCTAATTAACATTTATACACTCTGTTTCCAGAGGCAAATACTATTCTATTTGACAAACTGTAATGTCTCTAAACAGTTGTATGAAGATGTCACAAAAGCTACACTGGCTGTCTTCATACAAGTCTTAACAGGAGAAATTTAGATGCACAGGCCAAGGAAGTTTAAATAAAATACGATTAGCAGTGACATTTAAACCAAATTCAGCAGTTCTACATTGTTCCAAGCTCCCATGTGGAATTTGTGAAACAAGTGAAATTTGTTAAGCGGGTCACCAGAATTTTGGAAAGCAAAATGAATGGGCCCAAGAGTAAAGTGCCTGCAAATTTAAGATTTTGAAAATGAGTGTGTGGCAGAGAACTCACTGGCACAATGGGTGAGACTGGTGGCAGAGACCAGACGCCAAGACTAGAGCTATCTATGCCAGAGATCTCACCACGTGTACTACACAAAGGAGGTGCGACTGCAACACACACACACAATCCCTGGATCTGCTATACCTTCCAGTGAAATATGACCTCATCCAAGACATTCTAGCAGTTGGCATGAGAGAGGTGATAATAAGAGATGGTTTAGAATCAAGAGAGAAAAAAGGCATATGTTTTGATGCTGTATAACATGTGGTTTTGGCTCAATTCTCTGGGATGGTGTATAGAAAGTTAGAATGGGAACTTAACTGAGGTATTTGGGAGCGTATGCTGTATCTTGGACAAGTAGGTTGCAGAAGATTAAGGATTTCTGTATATGCTGCTTTGTGCCAGTATTTTTATCCACAGCTGTGCATTACAGCCTTCACTTATGTAATTACAGTATTTGGAAAATCAGCTCTTTCACCTAATCTGACTATTTAATTGAAGCTAAGTGTGTCAGGGTAAAATGTTGGAGCCAAAAGAACTATAAGCCATTGGGAGCCATAACCATATTTTTCTGTTTTCTCATATTTACCTAAATAAGTGCGGTGGTATTCTCATAGTAAAGAGCAGAATAAAAATATTCCCAAATATCTTTAAATATGTCTCAAGGGAAGAATCCAAGCAACACTGGAAGATTACCCAGGCATAAAATGAAAGACTGAGTTTGAGTAACAGAGACCAATCTGCTTCCAGGACATATCTTCACTGAATTTATAACTACATGGTACTTTTTTTTCTTGTAATATATGCATTGGGTTTAGTCTTTTGTTCCTATGATGAGTGAAGTCTGGATCTGGTGATGTTTGCACTATTATTTTATTTGTGTGCACTATATTTTGTGTTTGTGTTTGTGTTGATTTATGTGCTGGCCTTTCCAAAAAAGGTAACTTATAATATGATTGCTATCAAAAGAAATATCACTGAAAAACTGTTTCCATTTCCCACAATGCGTTATAGATACTATAAGAACAGTTGCTTCTATGGTTCTTTCATCAGGAGGGGGACATCCATTCCTTAATACATGTAAGTGAGGTTCATAAGCCTTGTCAAATCAGAATTAATACTGAGTGCTAATCTCATGGGGAGGTCTAGAAGCATTTCTTCCTCATATTTTTTATTAATACAAGAGTGAATGTGATACCTGCTTTGCTGTATTATCACAGGTACCTTGATGAAGTCAGGAGAAAAATATCGAATACTCCAATACCCATTTAATCAAAAATCTTAAATGGATTCTGTCTCATATTTATGTATTAGCAAAATAGCAAAGCCTTTCCCTGTCTATGGATACAAGGCAGTGGCAGATCTGATCCTCACTAGCAGGGTATACATCATTACGTGAGGTATAGAACAATGAAGAATCAGGCCCAGTGAAACTATAGAGGCACTGACAGAAGTGGTATTTGTCGTGCAATTGGCCCCTTGCAAGCAGTTTACAGCCATGCCCTGACAGAAGGGCATGGCTGCAGAGCTCTTTAAAAGTGCTCGATGGTGTGACAAATTAACGCTCATTACCTGAGGGTTCAGATGAAGGCACTCCAAAGTGGAGCACCTTCATTAAATTCTGTAAGTCCCTGCCCATGAGCAGGGGTGGGCTGATGCAGCTCAGCCTCACCCCTGGTGCTGTCTGCAGGATGGCATGTGGGAGAAGAGAGGGGAAGGGAGCTGCAGGCTGGGGTTTCCCCAGCCTGAACTGGAGTGGGGATGGGTGGATTGGAGCACTCTGCCTCAGGGGAAGGCCCCAATCCACCCACTTCCACTTCAGCTAAGCCAGGCAAACCCCAACCTGCTGCTTCCCTCCCCCTCCCCCCTTTTCCCCCTGCCATCCTGCAGAGCACTGGAGCTGCGGTGGTAGGGCTGGGCTTGGGGAGACAGACTGCAGGCAGGCAGCTCCTCGGCTCCTTCGGCTCCGAAGTGGAGCTTGATTCCCCCACCAACCCCACACTCCCTGCTCCCCTGAGCCAACAGGGAATGTCTGTTGATACATGCCAGAGAATAGCACTGAGTAAAAGTTGAATGCTGAAAATATTCCCTGTGAATATTTTATACCTTTAAATTCTTTCCTTTCTGTGTGTCTGTTATGTTCAGTGTCTGCTAACATACATACAGTGGAGTATTTTTGACAAAAATGTTTGCAGAAAATGAACTTTAAAGGCACGTGCCTGAGTAATTATGGAAATTCAAACTTATGAGGACAACTTTTGCATTGAGTGTACACTCAAGCAGTCTTGGAGCAAAGTATTAAACCAAGTTATTTCATCAGTCAGAGCTATCTGAGATATTCATTGCTCCAACAATATAGACTGCCATCAATCCATTAAGTGAAAACATTGTGCAAATGATTAATTTTCTAATTTTAAATTACTCAAGCTTTTAAATTTTGAATGAGAAAACATAAGATAAAAATACTATTTGCTTATGCACATTTGTGGATAGAGAGAGGTGAAATTCATCCCATAAGTCATTTGTTTTGAACCCTTCAGTCAAGCTCTTGTACCCACATCTACCATGCTTCCAATATACTTCGGCTATTAGAATGCAGACGGAGTGTTGATTAGAGCTCTGCAGAAAGGAGTGCCTTGCATTTCTGTCTTATAGATGCAGATTTATACTGTGATACTTCCCCTCTATGCGGCATTGGTCAGGCCGCAGTTGGAGTATTGCATCCAGTTCTGGGCACCATACTTTTAAGAAGGATGTGGATAACCTCGAGAGGGTCCAGAGGAGGGCCACTTGTATGGTTAAGGGTTTACAGGCCAAGCCCTATAAGGAGAGACTAAGGGACCTGGACCTCTTCAGCCTCCTCAAGAGAAGGGTGACAGGTGATCTTGTGGCCACCTACAAATTCATTAGTGGGGCGCAGCAAGGAACCGAGACACTCTGTTCACCAGGGCACCTCTTGAGGTAACAAGGAACAATGGTCACAAACTGACAGAGCAGATTTAGGCTAGATATCAGGGAAAACTTCTTCACAGTAAGGGTGGCCAAAACTTGGAATGGGCTTCCAAGGGAGGTTGTGCTCTCCCCTACCT